AGACTTTACAGGTTGGAAAATAAAACTAACAGATTTAATAAAACAATAATACTAATACTACAGGATAATATTGTAAATAGGAAAATAATGAAATATATAAATAAATATGTACAAATATATACAAAACCAATATAAAAGCCTCCCCCCACCCTCCCCCCAATGATGAATACGTCACCAGAGGCTCTGCGGAGCCGGGCACTGGAAAAGTCCCAGACCAAACTCAGCAGCAGGTGGGAGCAGGATGCAGAACACACAAATGAGGATGAGTGGCAGACAAACTGGCAGGATTCCACTCAGGCCTTGGCCTCTGCAGGATCGAGACGGATGGAAGGGTCTGAGATGGAAGGGCTCCAAGATGGATGAAAGGGTGAAAAGGGAAAAGGCACGAGACCCTTGTGATCTCTCGGCTTTTATATCGAGTATGATGTATGTGGGATGGAATACCTAGTTGGTCAGCTATGGGTCTGCTTACTCTCCCGTAGGTGCAGACACAGCACCCATAATAAGACAACTGACCTTGAGCATATCTTCTAGCAGTGTTATTTGGGAAAAACTTGCTGCCAGTTTTCAGCAAGTTCAGTCACTTAAAAGAGACTGAGCTGAAAAGTAAAATCACTACATAGAAAATTAGTTCTATTTAGCTCAAACCAGGACAAAGGTGTTCTTTTAGTTTTGTGACTTGAGTTGTCTAGCAGCAGCTGAGGTGAAATCAGTCATTTTCCTTTTGCTGAGTTGTATCAGAAGCAGCATGGAAGAGAATGCTAACTGGAGTCCTTCACTGGGCACTGACAGCCCCTCTGAGGTGCTGTCAGGGACCACTGTAGATTTTGTAAGTCTGCAGTCTATGGGGTATCTAGTCTACCAAGTGAACTGTTTTAAAAACAAGAAATACAGATGAATCTTTAACAATGTAGCAATTTGTCCCTCTGTTAATAGGGTAAACTCATATTGTGGCCAAAGGTGTATGTGAAGTTGGACTGCATGATCTCTCAGTCTGTTTTCCCCTTTAAACTATGAATACATACTTTCAAGGGTACCTATGTAACAACTTGAGTTTTGCTTCCTTCAGTTAAGTGTGTTTTTTAAAAAATTATGTTTGGCCTACATCCTCCTACCATGCCTGTCCCAAACCACCACTGCCCTTTTAAGGAGTAAAGGAAGAAGCAGTAAAGGAAAAGAGAAGCTTTTGTCCTTTAAATCAAGTTCTCCTTTACTCATGAAAACCAAATAGATAGTCTCAGCTTTATTTCTTCTGGGCATTAATTAACAGTTTTTATACACATTAACAATGTGGCCGTGAGAAAATTAGCTTATAAGGCTTACTGATTTCTGGTCTTTAGCTGCAGTGCTAGATACGTAAACACTGAGGTGTGAGATACTTCCACAAGATGTGGAAGGGTAAGCAAGCAAGATGGGCATGTCCTTTGGTGTGCCTGCATCTTGTCCTTCATTGAGAGCCTTACCGCCCTATTCCATTCTAATCTAGTGGTAGTTTAAATGAAATTATTTGACAGTACACTGGTAGAGTATATTAAAGGAGAAATGTTTGCTCAGTTGGCATAGAATATGGCTGACTGGTGACTGCCAGTTTAGAGGGGAGTGTAATATCTGTCCTTTCCTAGTGGAGGTATGCACCTTGTCCTAATTTGGATGTTAACAGCGATGAGCCAGGTGACTCACTAGTCCAAAGCCATCAGCAGATTATGCTGGGGCAGTACTAATTTTGACAAGAAGGCAGGTCTTATCTTTAAGATAGCTGTAGCTGTTTTTTTTAACTAGGAGAACTGAAACAAAAATTCAGCTGCACTCATCTGTGAGAGCGTTCATGCATTTTACACAACCTGTTGGTCTTTTTAATGTTTTCAGTACCTATGATGCTGTTTCCATTATTCTAATAAATGTTGCATTTCATTCATTATGATAGCAAAGATGGCTTAGTCCGTAATCTTATCAACAAGTGTAGAGCAAATACAGTGATCTTTATCTTTAGACAGAAAGCTAGAGATCTCCAAGGGTGCAGTGTTTGATGTATTTAGTACCCAGTTGTTAGAATCTCCATGTTTGATTTATCCTGATATATTGCCAGAAGAAAAAGGAATTCCACTAGAAATCAGGTTGAGCTTCTCAAAATACAAATGATTTACTGGTTAATTTAATTGACTCTCATTTTTGCAGTATTTTTAAAAATTCCATCCCACTGTATTTTCAGCACACCACAGATGTAGATGATTTTAGTGACTTTGTGATTTCTTTTATAGGTTGACAGGCTTGAAGCTAAGGTCGTTGAACCTCTGAAAAGTTATGGGACCATAGTGAAACTTAAAAGGGTAGGTTAAACATCTGTTTTCTCACACGGTACATTTTGGTGTTCTGCCTGCTCTGTTGAAAACTTCTACTTTTCAGGACGGAGGGGTTCTGGTTTTTCATATTGCAGTAACAGTCTAACTATAAATTATATAGTAATACATCTGAATTGAAGCTACATACATCTGCGAGGAAAAAGCTTTGATGTGAAAAAAGGATATTCTAATTATTGGAGCACAAGTGAATGCTAAAAAAGGCATTGTGGGTAGTGTGAAACTTCCTGGATAGTGCAAATTCAGGACATTTTTCTTTATAAATAATGTCATTCTTAGTAGTTTTGCTATTATTCAGAGTTGCAAAAGGTGAATTACATGTAATGCTTTTGGCTCTTAGTCACCTATAACATCTTTTCTACGCTAGAATTGTGTTCTACATTGAAGTTCATAATGTAGAATGGATAACATAGGTAGTGGCCTGAATACCTCTCTGTCCTTCAAAGTCATCAGGATGACCTGAAGATACACAAAAACCTGAGGTCTCATCATTCACTATATTCTGGAAGCAGTGCATATAGAGGTTTGAAATATTCCCACAAAATATATGTAAATTTCTTTCCTCCAGGAGGGATAAGCTTGAGCAAGTAAATTTTAATAAGCAGATAATAGTTTATAGGACAAAAGTAGTTCTTCATAATACTTGAGTATTACACAGAGGACACTTTCATCCTGTAAACTCTGTAACTGATGTATATATCTGTATCATGAACTATATAAATCAAAAAGGTAAAGTGATCATTATTTGATGGTATTTTTCATATAAAAATCTTAAGTGTGTTTTTGCAATGGTTAGTTTGAGTATATTGTAGCATTGCATCACAAACTAGCATTTTTCATTTGTTTTTGTTCCTATGTCTTTTCAGTGTGGTGAAAAACTGAGTGCAATGCTTGGAACTTACTGCACGGCTATCTCAGTTGCTGGAGAAACAATTATGAAGGAAATGCTTCCTGCACTTGAGTGGGACTACATGTGGTAGTCTTTAGCAGAGTTGTAGACTATAGAGCCTGTATCCTAGAATTTGGTATCTTAATAGTCCCTCTGAAACCCAGTTTGTGAGACCTAGAACTGACTGAGTATTCTATCGGATATAAATGTTGAGGGTGGAAGACAAGTGTTGTGTTTGTGGCAGTAGCATTGCTGAGGAGACATAGAGCACTACAGCAGTGCCTGGGGCTTCCAAAGCATTGAAGTTGCTGTCTTGAGGTGCCTTGCCACTGATAGCCAATAAACACTGAGGACAGAAGAAACTGGAGCCAGGTCATCCCCTGCAATAGTGAATGGCATTTCCTGTTGTCTTTACCTTTCAGAATGCCAGAAAGCATTACATATTGTTTATCTTAGCTACAACGAGGAGTACAAGAGCATTCTTAAAATGTAGGTCAGATGAACTATTTTTTCAACATACCTTTGAACTAAGAGAGACTTCATAAAGATGCAGGCCATTAAATGACTTTCTACCCCTTGTGTGTTACCATAAACCTTGGTTAAAATTTCAACTGTCTGGTCGTCAGTTATAATCTCTGAACACTAGGACATTTGTAGTGAAAAAAGTTTTGTCACTCATGTAAAGCTAGCACAGGGTGCTAGTTGTAGGACTGCTTTAGCTGTAATTAGCCAATCAAGTAAAACTAGGCTGAATATATCATTATAGCACTTTTTATAAAGGGCATATTCTCACTGCTACTTATTGGATCTGTTCCAGGGTATACACAAACTATTTTGGTGCTATATCTAAAAAGAACTGTTGCTATTTCTGTGGGGTAAGACATCAATGTCCTGTGATACTAAATGCTTTGAAGAGGCTCAGGTCAATCAGAATAGTGTTGTCCTTTAACTGCTAATGCAAGAAAATAGTTTCATTCACATGTCCTGGTTTACTATGCTGAGTAGCTCTCTGGGACAGGATTTGGCAGCTTCAGTGAAAATCTAGTATAATATTCTTGTCCTGTAATGCAGCTTAAATGTAGGATTTTAGGATTTCTTTCTGTTTCATTGTTCTGTATATCAATCTTCACTTTTCTGCTTTTTGGCAACTCTGTTCCTGGTTCCTTTTCTTCATATAAAATAGGACATCATAAAACCAAGGTGATCCACCTGCAGAAGAAAGGATTGGTGGTTTGCTTTATTAACTTCAGTGACTAAAGCAGGTAACAACAGTACAGTGATGAGGATCTGCCAGCTCATTATCTGGTAGATGGACTGTAGCTGTACTTCTGTATGGTTTGTAATTAGATGGCTGACCAGAGTTCTTATGTGTGACTTGAATTCATAGTTTAAAGCCAGAGGGACTATGAATAATTTTATATTCTGTTTCTGTTCTTTATCTTACTGGCTATTATGTTCCATTCCATTTCCTCTTGGGTGTAATTAAAGCATATTTTCCAAAAACCAGATCTTGGACTGGAGACACTGGAGGGGAATGCAGGACTGTTTGTTGTAGTTAATAGTTGACATTTGTGGTATTTAGTTTTAAATGAAATACTTCACCTAATCTTTGGTTCTTGTTATATGTTCCACTGAGATTAAAGAGCTCTGTGATGCTCTATTTTTTTTCTTCTGGATAGATGTCTTTAGGTATTAGTAAAACCCATTTTTCCTCCTTTTCAGTTAGATAATAATGTAGACCTTAATCCTTTCACCATAATGACATTTTCCTCAGCTTCTGAATGTTTTTTAATGTTTTTCTCTGCATACTTTTCAGTTTTTCAACATCCTAGACAAAATATGTATGTAATGTGCCCTATCTTTGTATATCCAAAACTTGCATATAGTTCCACCACTGCAGCCACAGTGGCACCAACTCTTTGTTAGGCTTAGGGTAGCAGGGAAGCATGTTTGATGGCTGTTGTGGCTACGAAGAACAGAGGCAGAGAAGGGAACAGTGCACTCCCTACAGGTATTTCCAAGGTCACTATTTGCTAGAAAGAAAATACTGAATTTTGTAACGGTAGCTCTAGTAGTTTCCTTAATATTCTCAAGTGTATTTTTCATGAAAGTCAGAACCCTTTCAGCCACAACGTTAAATCTGATTGACTGTTTTACATGGCCCAAGAAAGTCACTGCTGTTAACAGGGCCCGGTCATTAAATAATGCGAAACATGCAGCTGTGACCACTAGATACAAAACTGCATTGGTCTATGGCAAAGAGAAATGTTTTCTCTTTCTCTACTTCTAACGTAAAATTTTAAATGTAAAGCAATAAAAATGTTTTTCTGTTACTGCTTTTCTTGCAGCTACATCATTTTCATACAGGAGAAAGCCCTTTTCAGCTGTTTTTCAGATGGCCTTAAACGTGGTATAAACTCCCTTTTGAAAGAACAGCAGCAAAATTAGTTTTGATGGGCTAAAGATGCAGTTGTTTTTATTATCTGAAACCAGCTCTGTGTCGCTAAAGGTGAAGCAAAATGACAGTCATATACACAAGGACATACAAAGAGACAGTAAGGACAGAAACAACAAAGAAACTGCATGTTTTGATCCTGACCTCACATACAGACTCCTTCGTGAAGAAACACAGCACTCAAGTTTGGCGTGCTTGCCAGTGACTGGTGATCTGGTCATTTCAGGGTCACAGAACTTTTTGAAGAGACACATTCTTGTTTGCGTGTCTGGGTGAAGGAGACCTGCAACCGTGTTAAAATTCTAAAATCCAGGGAAGGAGCACAGACAACTTCTCAAGATTATAATTTTTAATAGCTTTAATCCGCTCTATTCTGGAGCAGTAGATAGATGGTAATTGGTCTTTTTAGAGGAAATGATGGTTTGAAATGCATGCCCAACTCCTGCCTCAGATTCTGTTAGACTGATTCCTTTGGGCTCTATTTCTGCTTTTTCTAAAGTATGGCTCCTTTAAATTGTAGCCATCAAAATTAATGTCATTTCCCATACCAGAGTCAATGGAATGATAAATACCTGACAATTTTAGATTCCATGTACGCCAGACTATTTGCAAAATCAGTTTTATAGCATGAACAAGAATTTGATGGTGGTACATAAACATTCTTAAATTCTCATAGATCTTCCTAGAAGTAAATCCTACTTCTTTGGAAATGAGCAGCAAAAATACTTATTAACAGTTTCTGCCTTTTCTAGATCAATAAGTTTAATCTTCTTCAGCCACAGCATTACTAGGATGTATTTTGTTCCAAATGTATTTAAACACCTTACTAATTGCATATATAAATATGCAGTTTAACCCTTTCAGCCATGGATTTTCTATGGCACCTTAAGGTCTGTGTAGTAGTTTTGTGTTCTTCGTAACTCCTGATTGGTACTGACTGCTGTCTGTTTTGGTTTTAACTTACTGATTCATTTGATGCCACTTTTTATTTCTAAATGGCACCTTTATTCCATTACTAAGCCTGGAATGGGCCTGGCTTCTTACTGCTTTGGTGGTGTCAGCTTTTGACCATCTACTGTACTTTCTATGAAAAGCTGTAAATACATTTCTCTTTTTTTCCTCCCACATTTTAAATTACAGTGTGTGCTACAGAGAGTTTTGCAAGGTGCTAAACTCTCTTCGTCCTCACTGACTTCTCTTTGAGGGGATCATTTACAGTAAAATCTGTTTTCGTTTAAAGCAGAAGTTCTGTTCATGTTTTCTAGGCAACGCATGCATGAAGAAAAGTGTATTTTTTATTATCCTAGATCTATTTCAAACATGTCTGTAACATTTTATTTCCAGGATGATCTTAAAGCAACTTTAACAGCAAAGAACCGAGAAGCCAAGCAATTATCGCAACTGGAAAAGACACGTCAGCGAAATCCATCAGATCGACACATTATTGTATCCTGTATTTCTAGTGGCTATAAGAAGTATTTTTTAATTTTCTTCAGAATTAAAACTATTGTATTTAGAAACTAGTAATATAAGAACGCTCTTCAGAGGGACCGTTTCCTATGTTAATGTTTAATATTTTCTTAAACTTTGAGTTACAGCTTATAATAGCTGCTTTGTTACTCTCTTTTTGACTGAAAAGAAACTATGAAGTATTTGATATGTTTATGCAAGAGAGGTGGGCACAGATTGCACCTAGGAATTTGGAGGGTTTTAACAATAAGTGTAATCACATACCTCCTTTTTTTACTTCTGTAGATTTTTTTGTTTAATTGTTTTTCTCCCTGCTGTTTTGGTAGTTTTTGTGCTTCCTTGTACCTAGATGAGTGTGAATTTCCTCCACCTGTGAGATGAGGTGTGAAAGGAAAAGTTGTTATTCTTTTACTAGAATACTCAACCAAGCTACTCTTCCTTTCAAAAGACCAGTGACCCTCCCCAGTATACTATTCTGTATCACAGGGAGAAAATTGAAGCCTCCACAAAATGTCCATTAAAATCTCATTGAAGTTTCAAATTCTGAAGCAACCAGAATCTAGGAAGTGCCAAAGTAAAGGACATCAAGGCAATCCTACTTCAGTGCCTTTATGCCTGTGTGTTAGGTGACTGGGGCATGGGACTGCACAAAGAGCAAAAATGATTGTGATGGTCAAATGCCACTCAAGAGAGTGACATTTTATTTTTGTTTCTGCCAAAGAATTCCTATTTAGTATTAAACAAATCAGTGAAATCAAGTGATGACCAGTTAAGAGTTCCTCACTTAATAAAGACACACAGATGTCAGCTGTAGGGTTAGAACTTGAGCTGTGATGCAGTTCTCTTCCATTAGAATTAAGGGATTGAAGGATAACAGTAAGCTATTCTCCCCAAAGGGAGGCAGGTCTCATTCTTCTCCCTCTTGCACTAATTTCCAGTTGATTTCATGGATATATGGCTGGCACCTAGTTTGTTTTTTCTTTTCTCTTTGCGAAGCTACTCCCAAATATCCTTCTGCAGCTTAGCTTCTTGGAACACCTGTGCTTTCTGTACTTAAGACTTTGCCTGAAGAGTTATTAAATCTCAGTACAGTCTGGTTTTGCATATGGCCGAAGGCACCAAATGCTGCATATTTGCATTTTTAAGTGAACAACACAAAATGCATAAAAAGTACTGGGAGCAGGAATATGTTCATTTGCTTTTGAGGATGTATGCAGGTCAGCTTTTAGGTCTGAGGGAGGCTTCACCATGTACATTAGCATAGCTGTTAGACTTCAGCAGTGGCTCTCTTATTCTTGAGCAGCTGTGATGTTTCAGCAGCCAACAACTTCAGCCAAAGACAGTAATATTTGTACACACTCCTAGATTTCAAGTCGATCTTATAAATATGGGGGTTGTACAGCTTTGAAAAGAAAACCTTACCAGATTTTTTTAAATGTAAAAAATGCATTCTTTAAAATCAAAATTGATTTTTTTCCAGAAATGGTCTACCTAGGTTCTTTTTTTATTGTTGTTATTAATAAATAAATAACCAAACCCTCAGTCCAAGACAAAGAGTTGTCCTGAAATACTTTTTTGCCTGGATACTTGAATACTAGCAAAGCTATAACAAACTGTAAGTAACATTTTACAGCAGGAAGCTTCAGACAACATAATAACACCCTTCAGCTATATGGAAGTTTTGAAATATCTGAGGTAAATATTTCACAATACATTAAAAGCAGAAGTGAAAACAGATAATCTTATGAATATTGATTGTTATTTTGCCATTCTTTCCTTTACTAATATTTCCAGTCACAGGTGAGTGTTTCAGAAGAAAAAATATCAAACTGCTGTTGCACAAACTATGCGGGTTCTGCAAATTTAGACATTTCACTCCACAACAAACAAAATTCCTTTCTCAAAGCATCTGCGCACAAAATCTGGCCAGTCTATTTAAGATGGATCAAGAAGATATATTTGATTATCATAGAAATAACATACTGTATTTGTATGTGTAATGGCTGCTTATGCATAACATCTGCCTTCATTTACAGAGAGTAGCTGATTGTAGTAATGGAGAATACACAAAATGTCTTGTCTTAGTGCTTCCCTCTAGAAGATCAAGAGAGGTGACCTTACCTTCTACTAATGATCATCACCAATTTTGTTTGCCCAGTGATGGCAGAATTATGTCTATGACTTTAAGATGTTTTTGTAAGGAGGTTGTTTCAAATTGATAATTCTGTAATATAAGGTTACCATATTTTAATCAAAGAAAAAGAAGCAACAGAGCATGCCTTACGTTTCCATATACATATAACACTAAAAACCATGGGAAATGAGCCTGTGGAGTCTTACTTTCATTTTTTGAAAAAAGTTCCTCTCTTAAGTTGCAGTGTTGTAGAAATGGGAGGAATCCTATGTCACGATCGTAGGATACAATTACTTGAATGGGGGATTGGACTAGATGATCTTTTGAGGTCCCTTCCAATCCCTAACGTTCTGTGATTCTGTGAACCATGTACTATTCTCAGATCCCAGGACAGAATAAATTCCCGATGATACTCACAGAGCCTGTAAGAAAATAAATTGACTAATCTATGTTGTTTGACCAGTAATGTGTAGAAAATAGTTTAGACCCAAATTTTGCAGTATTCAAGTGCAAGCTTTTACTTTAAATCATAATTTTGTAATAGTACAGTTTTTAGACTTTTACTTAACCAGAATAACTTCAGTATCTTTAATGCCGCTGTGCATTTTTTTACAGTTCATAGTTATATATAACTGAAATACATATCTAAAATGCTTTTTGTAGCAACAAAGCAAGAAAAACTGTATATTTATGCATTAGGGATTGGCTGGTGTATCCCATTCCCAAAGCACTGCTGAAGATGTTTTTTATAAAATATTTTAATATAACAATATAAAAATATAAAAAACAGAATCTCACAGAATGCTTTGTGTTGGAAGGGACCTTTAGAGGTCATCTAGTCCAATCCCCCTGCAGTGAGCAGAGACAGTCTCAACTAGATCGAGTTGCTCAGAGCCCCATTGAACCTGACCTTGAATATTTTCAGGGATGGGGCCTCTACCACCTCTCTGGGCAACCTGTTCTAGTGTTTCACCACCCTCATTGTAAAAAATTTCTTCCTTATTTCCAGTCTAAATCTACCCTCCCTTAGCTTAAAACCATTACTCCTTGTCCTGTTACAACTGACAAAAGATTGCTAAAAAGACTGTCCCCATCTTTCTCTCTGAAATGCTTTTTGATCTCAGTATGGTATTAACTCTGGTCTGACAACTGAGATACTTAGGGGAGAAGTGCAGTAGTTCCAGTCGCTGCTCTACTGTCTATTTTAATAATTTATAAAACCTTAGTAAGATGAGGTTCAGCACATGACACTGGAAAATATTCATTCTAGACCCAGCAGGCTGATCTGCACTGGAAAATACAGGGTGGTATTTTCTGCTCCACCATTCTGGCCTGTGTTTCTGACCTCTCCTTCACACCAGCTTAACAACACTCCTTAACTTTTCTGAAGGGTAAATCCTTGTGCTGGGTTAATTCCCTGACCTGCCCACCCCCCAGTCACTGTGTCATCAGAGGAGTGTCAGGGCTGGCTCAGTAGAATTAGCAGATGACTTACAGAAAATGGATTAGGGCAGTGGGAGTTAGCCAACTGGCTGTAGCTGGTCACTTTTCACATTTCAGATCAAAGTCAGAGGTGTAGAAAGCATCTTTACTTGTTTAGAAAGCTACTAACAAATTTAAAAATACAGTAACGCTGATGTGTATCATTTTGAAAAGCCAGACTTAAAACGTTTCATGGCAATTAGAGCAAATATCTTTGTATGAAACACAGGACTAATTTCACCATTGTGTTACTTTACCAGGCTGAAAGTGAATTGCAGAGAGCTTCACTGGATGCAACTCGAACAACTCGGCAATTAGAGGAAACCATTGATAATTTTGAGAAACAGAAAATAAAGGACATAAAAGTATGTGTGGTCACATTTCAGTATATGACATCACATTTCATATTACATAATAAAATTAATTACTCTGGCAAGATTAGCAAATTTAGTATTAACTTAGGCCTACAAAAATTTTGTGGAATACGTTAATATTTCATAAATATCATGAACTTTGCAATTAAAAAATCAGTTCATTATTCTTAGTTTACTGAATTCAGAATTTTCCTGTATCTGATTTTTTAGTGTCTGCACCTTCCAACATTTACTGCATCCTACTTCACTGATGGCTGCATTTGTTAGTGGAATGATGTATATGGATTAGTATCAGCAAAAGTTAACAGAAATGTTGATAAGTCAATAATATATTTATCCATGCTGAAATTTGCGTAGGTTACTGCAGTTAAAAGTTTCAGTGATGCAGCAAGCACAAAGCACAAAATGTTCAGTGAATGCAAGTAATCAAAGCTTTCATTTCTCTTAATGTCAAACGTTAAGTGGCTTAAGTTCCAAAGACTATAGGGACTCAAAAACACTTGCATTATCTGATCTCAAATTTAATTATAAAGTTGCTGAAGTGTGATACTTTTTTACTGGGGAAAAAAAAGAGGCAGACTAAATAGGAAAGAATGAAAGAGGACTGAAAAACCCAACCAAACCAACCAGTACTTGATGTTAGAATAATATGGAAAAGATTGTGTGAGTTCTGAAGGTATCACCATTGGTTTATA